GGGTGATCGGCGGGGGTGATCGGCAGTGGTGATCGGCAGTGGTGATAGGTAGTGTTCTGGTTTTTGGTTTCTGGTTCAGGTGAATGCTAGAGCAGGATACTAACAAATGGGCCACCGACTACTCCGAACTTTCCTTCTTCCTTGCCATAGCCTCTGTCCTTACATAATACATATACATTCATACACACACTCACTCACACAAAGTTTCATGGACTCCACTACCACCCCTGTTGGGAGACCAGAAGGGAACGTAGAGCTCGTTTCGGCTGGGATGGTGCTCCACCGGGGGGAAATACCTGGTTGTGGAAAAAACCGTAAACCGACAGGTATATTGGCGCTGGACATCTCTATTTCGTGCAAGGTCACTGACCCCTCCCGCGATAAAGGAGGGCCGGGGAAGTCCCGCAAGCCACGGTATGTCTTCTCGACAGGTCTCACGTTCCAGCGGAAGAGGAAGAGGAGGAGGAGAAAGAGGAGGAGAAAGGAGGAGAAGAAGGAGAAGGAGGAGAAGGAGGAGGAGAAGGAGGAGGAGGAGAAGGAGAAGGAGAAGGAGGAGGAGGAGGAGAAGGAGGAGAAGGAGGAGGAGAAGAAGGAGAAGGAGAAGGAGGACGAGGAATCCTGTTACCTAGCGGGATAACATGAAGTATACTTACGGAACTAATGACCTAAGCTCTTGTCGCGTCCGGGACCAGTGTTCATTCACTCTTTCATTCGCGTTAGTCATTCATCGATCGCGTGCTCAACAGAAGCGCCGCGCAAGCACTGTGCGTACCCAGGCCTAGAGCTCATCTGCGGAAAAGCTCCGTCTCTGGCTGCTCGAATCGGGAGGGGAGGAACGGCGCTAGCGCGATCGGCTCTAGTGTAGTGAAAGGCTCCAGGCAGCTACATCGGCCCAAGTCGTTTGCCCCAAATTCGGGTATATGTGATGTTGACGGGGTGAATTGTGAAAATTTGTAAGTTTAAGACTTCTCGGTCTCTCGACCACTACAATTCTCGAAAAGATTGGAAAAAAGGCTTGCAAAACTTCACGAAGCACAAAAAAAAAAGAAAATCACGAATAAAATAATCCCAATGCAAAAGACAGACTGCTGCCAAAATAGCAAAACTTCACGAAGTAAAACTGTTGGCTGGAATAATGCGCCGAACGCCGCCGTCTCCTCTCCTCTCCTCCCCTCCCCGCGGTTATCCATTTCCCCAATGTGGACCTTCCACTCAATCCTAAACAATTTCTTCGCGACTTCTCTCATGACCTATTTTTTCCAGTTTTCTGTTTACATTAATTTATCAATTACCACTTTTATTTCTTCATTTCTACTCACATCATTCACAAGCAGTGAACAAAATTAATTTCTTTCTCTCTCTTTCTCTCTCTCTCTCTCTCTTTTCTCCTCTTCTCTTTCCTCCTACTCTCTCTCTGTTCTCTCTCTCTCTTCTCTTCTCTTCTCTCTCTCTCGCTTTCTCTCTCTCTCGTTCTCTCTCTCTCTTCTCTCTCTCTCTTTTCTCTCTCCTCTTTCTCTCTCTTCTCTCTCTCTCTTTTCTCTCTTCTCTCTCTCTTTTCTCTCTTCATTTCTGTGATTATTACTTACTTGAAATCCTTGGCAGGCTCGTTGCAAATATTTCTTAACCGCCATCCTTTTTTCTCCGTTTCTTTCTAAATTTGTTGTCTTCTACTGAGGAAAAGAGATAAGAGAATAGAGAGAAAAGAGAAATAGAGATGAAAGGAGAAATAAAATAGAGATAGGAAAAGAGAAATAGAGAGGGAAAGAGAAATAGAGAGAGAAAGAGAAATAGAGAGGGAAAGAGAGACAGTTTCTTTCATCCTTCTACCCTGCTACTCTTCTTATTTTGTTTCTTCAGTGCATTGACCTTTTTGCCATGTCGCCCTGTTTGCCTGGATCTCCGCCCCTCGCTTCGTCTCTTCCACCCAGTGCCCCGGCTGCTGGGGCGGCGGAGGTCTCTTTGAAGCGCGCTGCCAGCGCCCGGGACGCGAGGCCGCAGCCAGACGGCGCGACCGCGGGGCCCGAGATCTTATCTCGGCCGCGCCCCTATTACGCCGAGGATGGCACGGCCACCGCCGCTGCGGCTTGTCGACCGGCAAAACAACACTTCTCCCGTCGTTCGGACGCTTTTTGTAGCGGGCATTTGGAGAGCACGGCGCTGCTGCTCCCCGCTTTCACGGCCTGCTTCCCGGACGCGGGCGGCGCGCGATTGGCACGTCCCGACGAAACGTGCGCGACGGACTCTTTGGCGGGAAGATAGCCCCGTGACGTTTGTGAGTCCGGGCGGCACGTTCCGACCCCCAGGCTCTTTCGGAAAGCGTTAGTGGCGGAGTTACCCCGTGGAAGTTTGCTCGTTGGCTTTCATTACGTCGACGTTGATCTCCTAGCAATTCACCTATGCATATCCAGACGCTCGGGTTATATCCTCGACTCAAAATGTTTTATTTGTAAAATATTATTTGCTCTAGTCATAATAAAAAGAAGAAAAATTTTAAAAAAAC